ATATTTTAGATGAAATTGGAGTAAATAAAGTCCATCAAAATTTTATGTAATTTAAATGCGAGATTTGAAATTAAAATGTCGCAATAGCGTATAAAAAATATCGGTACTTTCAAAACCTTGTAGAAATGTGTAGCAATAATTTCTAAAATAACGATTGCAAAATAATTTGATTTGCGATAAAATCGTTACAAATAAGCCATGTCAAAAAATGGTTATCTAAATGAGCGATTCTTTACTCGCGATTCGTAATAATATCGTGCTAAAATATCGAAGTTTTAAAAACCGGGCGGAAATGTGCAGCAATAACTGTTGAAGAAAGGATCTAAAGTCATTTAGATTTTCCATGAAGTTTGCACAAATAAAGCGTTTCATAACTTTCAAAAATCGCTATTTCAGAAACTACTTGAAAATGGGTAGCAATAACTACCGAAAAGTCATTGGAATCGGCACATACGAAAAGCGTCAAAAGTGGTAATTAAAATTCGTAAATCGTAATAATGATGTATTAAAAATATTGGGATTTTTAAAACTATGCTAAATCCATAGCGTTAACCATCGAAAAACTACATTGATTGAGATTGGGTGCGTCAAAAACTTAAAAGTGTAAATTTAAATTACCGAATTTTTTTATTATTTTTCAAAAGTAAATATAAATTTTTTTTTTTCATTTTGTTCAGATTGCGGCCGCGGGCCGCCCATCGAGGGTTGGCGGGCCGCAGGTTGAGCACCCCTAGCATAAAGATATTATTTCTTAACCTCGCTAAGGAAATTTTAGGTTTCGAGGCTTTTCATTGCAATACTGTTGTGTTATTAAATTTAATTTGCTATGTATTATTTTAAATTATTGTGTCATGTTTTATTATATAAAATCACTTAGTTTTAAAAACTTGTTTTAGTAAAATTCAATGAATAATTAAATGTGTGCTGTAAGAATGGCTATCTTTTATTTTTGAGAACTGGAACTTATTTTATTAGTCTTTAAAAATGCAATTTTACTTTTAAATGCTCAAAAAAAGTCTTTATTGTATTGGAAAACATTTATCCTTTAATATTTCTGGATTCACAACAAGTCACTTAAATTCATGTTTGTCTGAGATAAATCACTAATTTCGGTTAAAAGGGAAGAAAAGTAAATAATTGGTCACTTTTTTTAAAAAAATATTCCATTTTATGAATTTTTTTTATTTATAAAATGGAATATTTTTAACATAAAATTTAAAAAGGGACCTCCAAGTAGAAACATGCAACTGGCACATCATCAGTAACACCTTTTCAGGAGCATTAGACATGTATAGTAGAAGTTTCTGATTTCATTGTAGTAGCTTTTTTTTCTTTCCTGAATGGCCTGTGAGAAATGAAGAGAATGGATTAGCAAAAGAGAAAAAATTCTCTCCATAAGCTCATAAAGTGTTCATTAATATGGTTTTTGACATCAAGGGGTGCCTTGTGCAGATACTTGTGCAATTAGGTTATCATTTCTTGGAATACATTCCACCCAGGAAGGGTTAATAGTGTACAAGTTTAAACACAGTTATAAACAAGTTCATGTAAAAGAATTGTCAGTTTATTACATATAAAAACTATGAAAGTACAATTGCTTTTCATTGCAAGTAGAATAGAATTGCATTCAAATTTCAATTCTCTTTTTTTCTGTGAGAGGAAACATTATATGTTGAATTGGAAAACTTATTATTAACCCTTATGAACAGGTTTTGTAAAAAAGAATTTGTGAATTCAGCGACTGAAAAGGAAGATTTTAGAAATGCTTTTGAAGAAAAAGGCCTTTTGTTTTCAAAGGATATAATATGAGAAACTACAGTTATTGCTGTATGAAGGAAATTAAGCAAAAACTATTTAAGAAGATTTTTTTGCTTAGTGCAATAAGTAATTTTTTTTCAATCATGGGATAATATTTTGCTGAGAAATTGTTTAGAAATTATGGAAAAAATTTAAAATATTTAAATTTTTTTGCAATGTTAAAAATTTATAATGAAGAAAGTTGTTGAAATATTGTTAAAATTACTAAGTGATTATCAACACAATATATCTATGCTTATAAAGGCAATGGCATGTATTCCAATTGAAAAACTTAATTTAAATCACTATATTAGAAATGATCATTGCTTGTAAAATTAAAGATGTTCTTGGCCAGACAAAATATTTAATTGTACAGAAGGTGGTCGAAATGTCTTGGTCTGCTTCTCATAGTAGTGCAGACATTGAGACAAGTTTATCCCTTTCAGGCAGAATTATAAGTGAAGAAAAAGCAAATGTGTCTGTGTCTAAGAAAACTTTAAATTCAAAATTGTATGTTTTAGATGTATTAAAGCATTATGATTGGAGCAAACTAGTAACTGTAAGCTCCAAACTTCTTATAATGGTTAAAAATGCCAATAGAAAAGAATGAAAAAGAAATTTCAAATTTATGAAATATTTATTGTTAAAAAAATTGACATAAAGTTTGCGAAGTAAATATTTTTATCATATGATTGCCAAATAGCAACCTTGTTCAGGATTGTTCACATCCTTCTCCCAAAAATAGCGAAATAGTATCGTCGCATACCATGTGATGAAGGCGGAGCCAAGTACCAACTCCTGGTGAACAAACTATACTTGTTGTGCAGATTTTGAAAAAATATCTTCATAATAATATTTTTAATATTAAAAAAAACTTGACAATTTTAAATTTTTATTATAATTAAATTCTTTTATTAAATAAATGTATTAATAAATTTAGTTTTATTTTGCTTAATTTTAAAAGGGGCTCACGAATTGGAAGAAATGCTCCTCTTATTGTTGTTCAAATGTTGACAACCTTGCTAATATTGCAAATTGAACTTAATTTAAATGCCACTTGTGTTGGTGCTATGGAAACTGGATTGATGAATAAAATTTAACGTCTATAGAAATGACCTTTACAAATTAAGTGTAAAAATGTTTATAATGTAAAAAATACAAATTTACCAATTATGAATGATAGAACTATATTAAATAAATAAGAATTGTTTTTTTTTTTTGTTTAAGTTTGCATTTAATTTTATATCTCAAAAATTAGCTTTAAAAATGAGAAAAAGGTGTTTGTTTAGGATGCTTAGATTTTCTAAAAAAACTTTTTTTTCTAACTCAACTTTCAGCTCTCAAAATAAATCATTGATAGTATCGCCTTTAGTGCACTTTGGTTGCAGCATGAGGTTGACAATATCTTTCAAAGATGGTTAAAATGAGCTCTCTAAGGTGTCTCAAACAAATATTTTTAATACATTTGAATTTAATATTTTTTGTTTCCTTATTTGTCCTTTTCCGCATTCGATGCAGAGGTTTGCCCGGGCGCTGGGAGAGGTTTTGAAGGTCTCTCCTAAAGTTTTTCTTCAACTCAAAGACTATGGGAAAAAAATCTATGGATAATTGACTCTCTGTTCTCTTAGTTTTTTTTCTTCTTTAAGTTAATATAAAAAAGTTTAAATTAAACTTTTTTTGAAAAAAAAAAACAAAAAAACATTGGGGAGAAGAGATAATTTGTCTTGTAAATTTGTATATCGATACAGTTAATTGTTTTAAGAAATAAAAGCTTAAAAAAAGTGGATCAACTAACCTTGATTTCCCTTATGTATAAATATTATTTCTTTCTAACATAGTTTTGAGGGTGATTCTTTTTAAACATGCCAATTCGAACCAAAAAATTTCTTCAAATTTAAAGTCTTCAAAATAAACTAAAATTTTTTTTGTATACTTCTTAAGTTATACTTATTAATATCTTACTGACAGCAGTGTAGTTTATTGACATTTGCTTGAGAAAAAAAATAAAACAGAAATTCACCAAATCTTGAATGCCAAGAAAATGACATATTAGCTTAGAAGTTTAAAAAACAGTCATTTTAAGTTAATAGTTAGTAACTCAACTTAAGCCTTTTTGTTAAATGGACCATAAATTGCTTAAATTAATTCTTTTTATTCACTGTAGAAAGATTAAAAAAATTTTTTGTTCCTGATATGTACAGAATAGTTTTTGTAAATAAAGTTTTGGTAACGAAGTTTTTGTAAATAATACCCTCTGCGTATGTTCTAGAAATGCTTGCACCAGTTGAGATTAAAAAAAAAATTAGATATTGAAAATTTTATGGGAAGTTTTGAAGCTAGTTATTATTGGAAACATTGTTTGTGACATGCAAGAAACATGAAATTTTGAAGTTCAATTAAATTTTTTAACTATACAAAACCATCAATGCTAGTGCTAAGTCATTTTAAAATGCTAACAGCAATGCTATTAATTTAAAAAAAATAAAAATTCTTTTAGTATTATAGTATTAGATCTTGGAGCAAGGGATAGTGAATTGTCATATTTCGTGAGAATCACCCATATATATAAAGAAAATAACTCTCCAAACATATAAATCTCATAACATATAAAAAAATGTTTTATAAATAGTGGTGAAAAAAATTTCTAATTTATTTAAATCAAAAAAGCCTGCCATTTATTTACTCTCATTTTAAACTTTACTGTATTATCATCCCTATTGGCACGTTTGTAAATTGATGTATGTAACGTTGTTCTTACTATAGTGTAATGACACGGTAGTAAATTGTTTCTTCATGTACCATAAACATTTGAAAATTATTATAATTTTCATCATTTTTGAACTTATTATAATTTTTATTATTAATTACAAAAACCATATATAGTTTCAGAAAAAGGTCCCTGGTTGATTGCACACTTACTTGATTACACATTAATTTTAGATTTAGAAATTTAGGAGTATATTTTTTATGATCTCATAAAAATGGGACCTTTTACAAAACGTCTAGATAGGTATTTTTTTATTTATAGGAATGAATTTTTCGCTGGAATAAAGCTGTTATTCAAGAAGTTGGTTAGTTAAGTAGTTCAGAAGTATTTAACACACTTGGAAGACTTAAAGAGCTCATAATGGAGCCCATGGAAGCAGAAGACTCCAGTAAAAGACCAGGGACTCGGTAAAGTATTCTTTTATTTGCCGTCATTTGACATTACAAAGAAATATATCTATACACAGTAGGACCTCGATTATCTGAAGAAATTGGGGCTGAACCAACTTTCTATAGTTGATTCAGATTGTAGAAGTAATATAATTTTTTAATCTATTTTCTTTCATAAATTCAGAAAATAGTCTTTACACTCTATAGTGGTACACACCTGGAATATCGGAAAAAGTCAGGGTAAACAAGACCGGCAACAAAGTAGAAAATGCCAGTGTGCAAAACCTGAATTTGTTTGAAATTGGCTGAATGTAAGCACCACATAAGTGATATCAAATCTTCAATGTTTGCAAAGGAAGAATAAGCAACCTAGAGCATTGCAATATGGGAATTTTGCCATATCACTTATTTCTGGCTCTCAAGTAAGGCACTGGGTTTTAGAATAAACAGTTTCTTTAGCAATTGGTAGAGATGCGATTGAAAAGACTTGAAATGGTCAGTAACTTTTTGATATCTGGCTTTTGATTAATAAAATCTGTTTTATGGCCAGTTAAACACCAAGTAATTTGTAGGTTTTACCCAAATTTTTCAGGTCAAAACCTGTTTGTAAAATTTTGATGACTGACTTATTTTTTGGTCTTTCCAAGTAGAATTATATTACTGTTGTAGTTATAAAGGCAATTTGCAAAATTGTTGATTTGATTGAATCCTTTTTTAATTAGTACTCTATCTCTCAAAAAACCATATACAGTTGCTTTGATGAAGACCATAAAGTGCTTTTTTAAATTGGCATAAATAATTTTCCTTACCTTTAGCGTGAAATCCAGGTGGTTCAGGAGTAATTGTAATTTCTTCAGTTAGAGGAAGAGTATACAAGTATGCACCTTTAACGTCTAGTTGGAGATGAGACCACTTGATATAAGATATCAGCCGGGAAAAAGAATCAAAAGGAATAAGTTGAATACTGATGCGAATGTTTCATCTTAACTCCTCCCCTTCACTTGTTTGCAACATTGTGCGACCAGTATTACCTTATATCTTTTTGTGTTTTTGATTACACCCTCTGACAGCTAAGTGGTTTGTATTAAAGATGGAAGGGGGGGGGGATTAATTAATATCTGAATCTGTAGAGATCAAAATTCATTTGCTGAAAAATAATTTGCTTTCTTTGATAATTCGTTATCTTCATCAGATGACTGAGATTCTTGTTCCTGCCATGGAGGAGCAACAAGACCAGACGATTTGTCTTTTTCTTGAAAATAATCTGAAAGTATCAAAGACTTTTTTTTACAGAATTTCTTGGTGTTATATAAGTTCCTTAGTCTTTGAATTTTACCTGCTTCATAGCTCCTTGTACATAATCTGAACAATCTAATAGAAGCATTGTTTAATATATGTCAGTTCTGGTTCCATCTTTTCTTGCACAGGCCAAACTTCTCATCGAAGTATTTTGAGATATGAACAGCTTGCATCTAAATCTTCTATCACTGTCATTTGAAGTTACTGCTCTTGGACTGCGTAGCAAGCTTGGTCTCAAGTAATTTTTAGGCCTGAAAGATGGACTAGAAGAGGTAGATCAGGGTTTCCAACTTACATGAGACCGGGGGCCACAATAAAAAACATTACTCATATGGCGGGCCGCAACTTTGTCAAAATTTTATGTAGGACTCCTTATTCCAAAATTTTATGTGTTTGTTAGAACATTAAATATTACTGTCAGATTTTTATCAAATTGTTCATGTATCTTTGTAGTCATGCAGTACAAATAGTGTTTTTATTATTATTTTTAAATTTTAAATGTATTTAAATTTAATTTAAAATGTAAAATTTTAAATATATGCTGAATTATGACAACATATTGAAATTAAGAAAAAAGTAACTAAAAATAATTGTAGAAAATAACAAAAATAAGCAACTTAAGTAGGTATGAATAATTAAGGTTCTACTGTATATAAATATATCAAACTTTTCATATGAAATAGTTAATCAATATTTGTTATTAATTCATTGATATTTGCTTCTAATATTACAGGGTATTTAAGAAAAGCTCTCCAAATGGAAAAGTATGTGTTATCAATTTTAATCCGTTTTATGAATTGCAATTTTAATCAGTGTTTTAAATTACATATGAAATAATACATGATACATTTTGCTGTCCTTACTTTAGGTATAACTTAACAATATTTCATAATGCATGTAAATTGTTCGTGTTCAATGAATAATTGAAATTTCATTAATATCAAAAATATATATTGAAATTTTTAAAATGTTTTGAGCATTATTAAACTAAGAATAAATAGAATGAACTAATATCAATACTGTTTTTATTTAGCTTACAGTGTATCTTGGAAAGAGGGATTTTGTAGACCACATCACTCATGTTGATCCGATTGGTTTGTATTGAAATTATTTTTATTTCCCAATTTTTTAAAAGTTTTCTTCCTTATTGTTCAATTAAAGAAAGAAATAGCTATTTTCTTGTATTATTATTTCATATTTTTTGCATAATTCTTACAAAAGTTACTATGTATTAGTTTCATGCTGATTTTGTTTTGAAATTTTTGATATTTAAAAAGCATAAACCTGGATTGTTGCCTTATTAAAATTTTAAAAGAACTTGTAAATTAAGTTAAAAAGTATATTTCTGAACAATAATTTATGGATGTACACGTTTTAATGTCATAATCAGTAAGATTTTTAGACGAAGTATTATTAATCAAAATAAGATTTTTGTGATTACATATGCGTATTTTTATTTTCTGTTTTTACTGATATATTGAAATTTTCAGATGGAGTAGTCTTAATTGATACGGAATTTGTGAAAGAGCACAAAGTTTATGGCCAAGTCTTAGCGGCATTTAGATATGGTCGTGATGATCTTGATGTTCTGGGCTTAACATTTCGTAAAGACTTATATTTAGCTAATGAACAAATATATCCTGTTCCTCAAGAGCAAACAGGAGGAGGAGGAGAAGAAGAAGAGGAAGAAGTAGTTGTAGTAACACCGCCACCACCAAAACATCCATTAACGAGGTTACAAGAGCGTCTGATTAAAAAGCTAGGGCCTGAAGCATATCCTTTTTTCTTTGAAGTGAGTAATACTTTATCTTGAAACTCTTATTTGATGTTTGTTTTGGTTAGAGAAATTGAGAACAGCTGATATGATTGGGTGAGGCGTGTAACCAAGAAATAGTGGAGACTGCTCCAAATATTTTCAACTATCAAGTTGCAAGCTTATTTTATGCGCATAAAATTAATAAATTTTTTGTCCAATTCATGTTTCTGGACTTTTTCAACCACTTTGTTTAAGTAATTGCTATTTAAAGTTTAGGTTTTTTTTCATGTTAATTATTAAAAAAGTTATGGTTTAGGTTTACAAAAAAATTTTTTTTTTTTAAATCTAATATTTTTTTATTTGCTTTCTGTACTACTTTTGAGCTTTTCATGTACCACTAAACGTTCCCTTTATACCGATCTGAATCTTCTGAATGTCCAGTTTCCGCATTAGATCATAATTCTCCATTTGTTGGATTTTTTTTCTGTATTTAAATATAGTTATACAAGGAGGAAAAAACTATATTAGTCCCTGTTACAAAATGTTTAGTTATTGTTAAAAAGTGTTATTATTATTATTAAGTTTTGTTCAAAAAATGTTTGTTAATTCGCGTAAACGTAATTAAATCACAACTTCAGTATATTTTGAAAAAACACCATCTACCTTTATTTACAAACGACTACTAACAAAAGTGTTGCCATGCAGAGACAACTAAGTTCTTTTATTTAATCTCGTTACTAAGTTAATTACCAGCGTGCAACATCCACCCCACCCTGGTCGACCTCCAGGGGGATAACCAGCTGCACGGGTCGGGAAAATGTCCCTTCATTTACTCGCGGTATGCATGTACGGGCTTTGTTGTCACGGCCTAAGATCACTGACTCGACGCATGCTTTCCTCCAGGTCTGACGTCCTCTTGCAACAAGACCACATTTCCGACCCGGATTTCAGTTCCTTTAGATGGGTTCTTCACATGGTGAAATGTTCTCAAGTCCATCAAATATTCCCTCTGTCATCTTTTCCAAAAGGAGTCCATTAAATGTTGACGACTTCTCCATATGCATGTTAAATCAGAGTCTGAACTCGATGGGCCAGAAGGGATAGTTGTGAGTCGTTTTTCTATCAGAAAGTGAGAGGGTGTCAGTGCTTCGTCCAGATCGTCTGTAATACCATATTCATGGACAATTGGTCTGCTGGTCACGGCGGCTTCGATATTGCATAGAACCGTGACTAGACTGGTAGTGTCTAAGCAAGCTTTACCAAGGGTCTTCCACAGACACTGTTTGATTGTACCAATCATTCTCTCCCATAACCCTCCCCACCAAGCCGTGAAGCCGAGATTAAATAAAAGAACCAAGTTCTTTTATTTAATCTCGCTACTAACTTAATTACCGGCGTGCAACAATGTTGTTGCAAAAAAAGTAATAAGTTTATCTTGTGAATGATACTATAAAATATTTTTAAATGTGGAATATCTAGAATATTTTTTTTAATGTGGGGTCAAAAATAAAATTATGCTATTATTTGTCACTTTTTTTTGTTGTCATGTTGTAGGATGTTGCATATAGGATGTAAAAAATATAATTTTATTGCATTTATTTTCAATGAAAACAAAGTAGAGAATGAAAAATATTTTAAATTCTCATTTTTTAAAAAACAAAATCTGATGAAAAAATAAATTGCTGTTAAAGAGTAATGCATCTTTTCCTGTAAGAGAATCTAGTTGCTGAATTTTTGTGACTCCATTTCTAGGGGAGGTGCTGAGAAATTAAGTAGAATCTTGCTTTTATAGCTACTTTAAAGTTTTAGACACATTTTACATGTAGGTGTATATATAAAGAATAAATTCTCAAAAATGCCCTGCTTGACTATTATTCTAGAGTGACATTTCATCTTTAATAGGAATACATAATTTAAGAGAAATATTTTATTTAATTGACATTACTATTTGTTTTAATGAATTTTTTTATATTTGGTTATATATTCGTTTTATTCTGCCATTTTTTTTATTGTAGAATTTTATAAAATAGCACTTGCCTAATTGTAAAGCTATTAATGAATTAGCTTTTAAACATTTGTTAATGATTTTTTAGTTGCCACCACATTGCCCTGCATCTGTAACATTACAGCCTAGTCCTGGAGACACTGGCAAACCTTGTGGTGTTGATTATGAGTTGAAAGTATTTATAGCGGATAATGTTGATGACAAAGCACATAAAAGGTAAATTTTTTTTACTTTTTATGTTAGGTTTTTAATTTTTTTAACTAAGTTATTTTCTTATTTGGGTGGTTGTTTTCCCATTTTGCTGACGAAAAGTTTTTCCCCTTGTTATTACATGAGGGGGAGGGTAGAAAAGTTGATGCGTAAGTTATGTAGAATATATAATGTTTTAAAAGTTATGATTGATTTATGGTATGGTAGTTTAGGGTTTACATTTCAATAGGAAACTCATTATGTCTTTGAAAAAATAAAGCATTTGAAATTTTTAAATTTCTTAGAATTCCATAAAAATGAAACGAGATGAGGATAAAAAAAATTTTTTTAACAAATTCATTGCACTTTGATGTATAAGATCCATTAAGTTCTTTTGGTCTTATTATCCCTGAACAATAGTTCAGATATCATGAGGGAATAAGAGTATTGACCTGGCTGTGCTCTTCAACAGCAATACGATAATAGACTAAGGCTGATTTGCCATTAATCTTCATTTATAGCGAAGCTAAGACCGTTTGTTCATGAAAGCAACTGTTAAGACGTTTTGTTTCTCATTTGATTTACTCGACATTGTGTTAATTTTTTATCACTTCCAAATTTAAGATTTATTCCCGCAAATAAAGATTTTTCTCAGAAAATGTAACATTGTTAAAAAAAATATTTCATTTTTTTTAAAAATTTAACCTTTAAAAATAAAATAATCATATTTATTTCGATTTTCAATTTTCAGAGATGTGCTGAAAATTCACGCAGTTGTATTATCCATAATAGGGATAATATGCGACAAAGTGCACCAAAACATACTACTTGCTGCATTTTGCTTTAAAACTGCAAAATTGTTGAACAGAATCACAAAATAGCTAACTTGCTAAACTCTAATGTTTCTACACAATGCTCCCCATTGTGTGAAGATTCTGGTGCTTCTTTATTGATCTCATTTAATTGTCACTTATGCGTTTTCCATGTCCTCTCATCAACCTTATTTCATACATAAAAACTCATCATGATCAAGTGATTTACGAATCATACTTTGATTTGTATTCACATGATTTTAAAATCAAGCATCACGATTTGTATTCACATGATTTAGAATTAACATATTTGGGTCCGTATTCACACACCATGATCCATATTTACAAGTTTTAAAAATAAAGCTGTCAGTCACATTATCATAATTTAAAAATCACACATCACGATTCATATGTACATGATTTCAAAATATCAAATCTTGTTTTGTATTTACGCTATTTTGAAACCAAACATGTTGTTGTGTCCAATCCTTCAGGATCTAGCGACAGCTAGATCAAATCCAAGAGATCGTGGACCCTAGCAAAATCAAGCACCAGAAGTGGGCTATCACGGATGTCCGCAAGAGCGAGCCCCAAGCAGTCGAGGATATGATCGGGGGAGGCCGGCATCAGATGGCACTTGGTGCACGTTGGAAAGACTTTGCGGCCGCATTCAAAGGTCATGCTTTTGAGGTGCCCACTGATAAATCCAACATAATTCATAAACCAAACATAATTCATATTAGCGTAATTTTAAAGCTACACATTTTAATTTGTATTCATAGCTATTCAGATTCACGAGATAAGTAAGTCTCACATCTACAATACTTTATGTTTATGTATAAACTTCAGATTTATGTATAATGTTCACACAAATAATTAAGAATTATCAATTATTAAAGTTTTTATATCATTTTTCTGAATTTTTTTTAAATTTTAATTTTTATTGTTACTCAAAGATTGTGTAAATCTCTGCCACAAGCTAAAATCCCTGAATTGAATGAAGAGTCAGGGTTTCACAGAGAAAAGACAAAAACTTTTACAATTAATGAAATGTTTGGGGAAATGCTATAGAAAAATTAACTCTTGTTTGTGAATTTTTTTTTCTTATATACAGATCATCTCGGTTGTTGATTTATACCATTGTCTATTTTCTTTTTCTTTTTTCATTGTCTATTTTCTTAGTTTATTTTTATGTAAACTTAATATTGAATATTTATTTTTTTATTCTTAAAGAAATATACAAATAAAGTAAATTTAATAAATACTATTAGCAAGTGTTAAATAATATTTACAAACTGAAGTTTAAAGAATCTTATAAGTATATGCCTGCTAATCATATCAGAAATTTCGTTATGGGAAGGAAAGAGAAATGAAATTGTTAAATCAGATATTTTTTTCTTTTTCAAAATAATTTTAGCTTTAAAATTTTTTCTCTTAAAACAGTTTTGCAATTATTTTTTTGAAATTAGGTTAATATTCTCTCCTTTCTAAAATAAATAAAATTTTTTAAAAATAAGTATAAGAGTGGTTTTACTTTTTGAGATGAAATATAAACAAATTGAAGTTGGAAAAGCTACCTACTGTTTCTCTACGATAGGTACTCTGACCGCCACAAAGTCTGCGACAGTTTGGTGCTATGGAAACAAGAAGAGGGCATTTTAGGGAGGGTAGCTTCAATGATAGCTTGTATGGGAAGTATACCAGATTGACTGACTAAGCCACCAGTAGGAGACTTATTTAATCTGATTCAATAACTTTTTTAAGATTCGCATGGATATTTCTTTCTTACTTGAAATGATTCTCTCTACTCAATCGGTTGTTATTTTTTAAATACAAAGGAAAAAAAAGTACAAATTCTGACATAAAGGGTAGTACAGGTTTTTTTAATTTTACGTTATTTATTATGAATGTTCATTGATTGTTAGATGGTTTAATTTCTAAACTTGCACATTTTTTAAAGCAGTTAATTTCTTTTATTATTTGAGTTTTCTGGAAAAAGTGAAGTGTTTAAACTTATTAACTCTGATTTTCAAAGGAGATAAAACTTTTGATGAAAATAGAAATAGTTCACGTTATCTGTGCCGAAAAATTACGAAATATCTTTCTTTTTATTATTTGTTTTTTTACTTTTTTTTTAAACTGAAAGCAAGTTACCGCATATAGGATGAAATCTAAAACTATCAACGATGATTTTTATCTGCACCCATCAAACCATCTGAAATTATCTAAGTTTTTCTTGTTGCTTAAATTGCTTTTTCTTACTTGTATTTTAATGTAGCATGTATAGTTTTTCTCACTAATTATTAAAAAAAATAATTCTAACAGTTTTTTATTAGCAAATTTATTTTTTATTTTTTTTTCTTAATAACCAATTTACTATGTATGATAAATTTATAGATTTATAGAGTTATTTATTTATAGAGTTATTTTATAGATTTTATAGAGTTAATTTATAGAGTTATTTATTAATAAAACATTGAGCTTGCTTTAAACAATTTTATACAATTTCCATACATATCCTATTTATCAATCATTACATAGAAATAACAATTTTAATTAGTAATTGAGTCAAAATTTTAATCGCGGTTACACCCAAAATTTGATATCATAATTTTTAAATTTTTTGTTGTTTTTTGAACACAAAACAATACCCCAAAACGATTTTTTTTATTTAATTTATTTTACAAGATGTTAACAATTAAATTTTAAAGCTCTTTTTAATTAAAAAAATAAATATCTAAGGATAGAAGAAATGGATTTTAAAAAATTGTATCTCATTTTACGCGGAAGTTCTTGAAGTTTTTGATAAAATAGTTGTAAATAAAATATATTCTTCTAGTNATTATAATTATTTTATCAAAAACTTCAATTATTTCTGCCTAAAATGAGATGCATTTTTTAAAAATCCATTCATTCTATCCTTAGTCCTTAGATATTTATTTTTTAATTAAAAAAGGTTATGTTAAATAAATTAAATAAAAAAAAATCGTTTTAGGCTATTGTTTTGTATAATATATACTTTTCAAAAAACAACAAAAAATGTAAAAATTATGATATCAAATTTTGGGTGCTACCGCTATTAAAATTTTGACTCTTTTAAGAAAGAGAAAATCGAACGATCTAAACGATGTTTCAGGGTCAGAGTACCTATCGATGGTCAGAGTACCTATCGTAGACAAACAGTATATGATGTTGGCTATTGATAAATAAGAAGAGTTTCAAGAAGAAAAAAATTACCTTAATATGGTGTAGTGATCTGTAAAATATATACTTCTATTTAAATGTTGATGCTATTAAAACTAAAACTCATATTTTTCAAATTTTTCCTTTATGTACGTTACTATTTTTTTCCAAGTAGAAGATGTGGCAATTTCCCTATTAGTAAAGCATTTTATATTGTATAGATACTAGTTAGTAATTTAAATTGATTTGAATAAATATATATGTACTTTTTATCTGTTTCAAAAAATTTGCCTTAAAAACTAAATCATAGTGTGAATCTAAATAAATTTACTCAACTAAAAGAAAAATGCAGGCAATAATTTGTAAATTGATTTAAATCAAATAATTTAAAAAGAAAAATCAGTGGATTTAAATCACAACCCAGGTTACCATAAAATAAGTTTTTAATAGTAGAATTACAATAATAGTTTACTAAAATTATTTTTTTATCTTAGTTTTGTGTAGGCAAGATTCACTTATTTTTGCATGAAAAGGTGACACAAGCCCGAATTAGTATTATCTTTTAATTTAGAAAGTTGTAAAAATATAAAGTATTTTATAGGAATTCTTTTGAGATGTTTGCCCAATTTAATAAACACATACACACAGCAGATTTTTATCTTCACAGCAGCAGCAGATATCTTTGCAGATTTCACTCTGATATTTTATTTGGTGTTTGTCAACATGTTCAATGAGTTGTCTGAGGAATTTTTCTTTTTTCCCTTTAAACTTTATATAAAATATACTTTTAAGAAAAGCAATTTTATCTTAAAACTTTTTAATGTAAGTTTCTGAATATATTTTTTAAAAATTTCGGAATGGAAAAAGCTGGGCCTAAATCATCTCATTTTTATTTTCACTATGTGCGGGACAATTTATTGTGTAAAATTTTTTTGGGCGTTATTTAAATTAAGGCCTAAGGATTTTATGCACTAAATGAAATACAAATCTTTTATACATAAAATTTTTAGATTCCTGTCTTTAGCTTTTTTTATTTTATTTTACCAAACTTATCCTTGGATTATCATACCAGCCAACTTTTTCATTTGCAAACATTTTTATTTCAATATTTAGAGTATAGTTAATTTATGATTCAACATTTTAGTATTGATATAATACATTTAATTTAGGATGATTTTATCCACCAGTACATACAAACAACTTAAACACATATATAAAACCTATTAATTGTGCAGAAAAGTTTTTAAATTGGGCACAATTAAACAAATTATTTTAAATTTGCTATTTGGCTACCTCTGTATATATTCTGGGATGTTAGGATTTTCGAGTGGGAAGCTATGGTTTAGAAATATGTATTGATGCATAACTTTTCTACATACTAAGATATTCATTTTAATAAAACGCTTTCATAAAAAGATAAAAATTACAAAATCAAGTGTGATATGATATTAAAAAAAATATACTTATCATGAAATCCTATTTATCTGTGTAAGTTTATTCAATAAATTATGAAATTCTATTGTGTATATTTTGTTTTCAAGGAATACAGTTCGTTTAGCTATTCGGAAAATCATTTTTGCACCCAGTGGGAAAGGTGAACAGCCAAGTGTTGAAGTGAGCAAAGATTTTATGATGTCGCCAAATAAATTACACTTAGAAGCATCTCTTGATAAAGAAGTAAGTTTATATTTGTATCTTGCTCTTATATTAGAGATTTATACCAGCGATAGCTTTGACATTTATTTAAACCTAAGCCTCTGTTAATTTCTCTAAGATAATTTTTCAATTAAATTAATGGTAATTTAGATTTGTGTGTTGTTTTAGTGCAGCCATAATATTTTAGTGTTTCAAGTCCCCCCCTCCTTTTTTTTTCTGAAATTTAGAAATAAGATGCCTTTTTTCTTTTGCAGAAATTTTAAATTAGTATTCAAAAGTATATAATAAAATTATGGTCACAATATATGCTAATTATATATCTTACATTTAGAAATTTAATTAATATCATTACTTTCAATATAGTACTTTGAAGTAACATATATCTTAAGTGATAATTTTTTATACTTCAGTTATATCACCATGCAGAAGAAATTGCTGTCAATGTACACATTGCTAATGGATCAAATCGTAGTGTGAAGAAAGTTAAAGTATCTGTAAGACAGTTTGCTGATATCTGCCTCTTTAGCACAGCTCAGTATAAGTGCACAGTTGCTGAAATAGAGAGCGAGTAAGCTGTATTTTTTTTTTTTTTATTATTATTTTTTTAAAAAAAAGTGTAATTTAATTATTCTTAGACTTTCTATCTTTAATTCACTCTTTAAAGTTAATTTTTCATGCCCTCTTTTAATCAACAAAATTTTTATGTTTCAGCATTATTAAAATATTGTGTAAAGTAGTTGACTTAAAAAAACCATGCAATATTTACCTCTGAATGCAAAGAATTTTTTTAACCTTACCTATACTCTAGTTTTATAAGAAAACATTAATTTATTTCATTTATTCAATTATTGTTCTCTAAATTTTTTTATTTTCTGAAAAGACTTTTCGATGATCTTAATAGGGGTGATTGTATTCCGGATGTATCCCGGAATTCCGAGTTTTTTGTCGAGTTTTTCTGAGTTCAAAAGTTCCACCAAATTCTACAATCTAAAATTTCAATACTTTTGCTAAATGGCGTTAAAGAGACATTTTCATAAATAAATGTTTTTCCGTCAATTTGATTCTTTGGGATAATTGAATTTTCGACATTTTTAATATTTGAAACTACATTGGTATCAGCTAATATCGCGATTCATGTTCACGCAATTTTAGTATCGAGCATCGATATTCAAAATAACCTGATTTAAAAGTTACGCATATTGATTCATATTCACACACATGACATATTGATTCAATCGTACATGACAATTCATACTAAAATGATTTAAAAATACAATTTAGTGATTTGTATTTACATGGTTTTAAAATCAGTATTTGCAATTCATATTCACACAAGTTTATAATCGGATTTCGGTGTTCGTAATCGCACATTTATAAAAACATCGATTTTTGTATTTACGCGTGATTTAAAGGCAATTTGTATTCACACGATCTAAAAATCTTGCATCGGGGTTCATATTTATGCGATTTAAAAATCAAATATAGCAATTTGTATTTTCGCTTTCATAAAATCCAATATCGTGAATCATATTCATGAGATTTTAAAATCCAATAACATGACTCTTGTAAGAACTAAGTTTTTTCTTTAATTAGTTACCGTAAAGGTGTGATATTTTTCATTGGTACCTACCAATTCATACAAATTTATTTATAAATCTTAATTTAGAAAATTATATCAAACATGTATAGTTTATAATTGGTATTGTGATATCGAGTTTTTGCATATAAAATTGGCATGATTTTTCACTTTGTGTTACGATTACCCCTGTATTTATATTATGTTTTAGAAATTGTCTGATGTTTTTTTGAAGGATTTAATGATATAATTATCATTGCATTCTAATCAATTTCATGTGATGTTTTTTTATTGATAAGAGTATCATAATTTTAAAAGAGTAAGGAAAATAATCGATAATTTAACTTTTAAAGGGAAAAACTAGTAATGAATATTAAGTGTCATCATAGGTTTAAAATAGGAAGCAAAATGATTATGTTTAGAAAATGTCAAATTTTATAATCAGCCAAAACTTTCAAATTTACTATATAGTCACTTCTTAAAAATATATTTTGTGATAACCAACACAAAGTGTGAAAACATCTTTATTCACCCAGAATATCCTTTTAAATTATAAATTAATCAACCTTTCACCCAAGTTTATAAAGTGCTTTATTGTGAAACAATAGAAAGCCCGCCCTCCTCACACAAATTAAGAACTATAAGTATTTTTAGTGTGCAGTCTTTTTTATTTTTCTGCTAACTTTTTATTATATTAATTTGCTTTTCTAATACTCGGATTATTTAAACAAAATATTTTCTCTAACTTATTAGTTGAATTTCATAAGTTATATAAAGATTCTGTTGCTAATTAAAGTAACTGGGGTATTTACCAAGCCTTTTGTCAATGTTTATCAAAACTTAAATTATTATGATTTCATGTACACAGAAGGTGGAAAATTGTTTTGTTCAATTATGTTGGAATTTTTGCCATTGTTTTCAAATTCGCTCTTGAATAATTATTCTTGTTTAGTAAAGTAAAACCTGGAATTTTGATATGCATGCTTCATAGCTGCCAAGTGTACAGATTTTATCGGAACGGTTCCGATTTTTATGTCTTGTTCCGATAATACGATTTTGGGTCAAAATGTTCCGATTTTTTATCACAGCGTAATTTTTTCTTTAACTCTAAAAAGCGATCCACGTCCGATTGGCGAAATCCAATCAAGTCGCGTTATCACTTAGCTCCGCCTCTAGCGCCATTCGTATATTCGATGACGTATGTACGGATCGCTTCACAGACACCAAGAGGAAATTTTAACTTCCTGACTTCTTGTCGTTTACTTGCAACCGTACCGGTGTTGAATGTTTACTCGGAACGCGTCTCTTCGATTTGAGTTTAGCTTTGAATGTTTTGTTGCTTGAAAAAATGTCAAAAATTCGGCGAAGTCAGTGTTTTCGCGACAATTATAGTGAAGAATTTGATTTCATCAAGAAATCAAGAAAGGGGACATCGTACGCGTTGTGTATTGCTTGCAATACAGACATTAGTATAGCACATGGCGGAAAGTGTGATATCATTTCACACGGGAAAACAGCCAAGCATGCTACCGCGTATACAAATATGAAAAAGTCTGCAAAAATTTCCGATTTTGTGTCGTCCACTATTGATCTACAATCAATTAGAAGCGAACTATTGTTCACAGGATTCCTCCTTAAATACAATATTCCGTTAGCTGCTGCGGACCATGCATCAAAGTTGTTTTGTGCGATGTTTCCAAATTCTTCGGAGGTAAAAAAAATACTCATGCAGGAGAACGAAAACTAGTTATTTGGTTCTAGAAATTGCAAATAACACTTCCGAGCAAATTATGAAAAAGCTGAAGACTAATGTGTTTAACATAGCGACAGATGGGAGCAATGACTCGTCGGACAATCAAATGTATCCAATTGTGGTCACATTTTTCGATGACGTGTTGGAGTTATTGAGCTGCACTCTTATATCTTTGCCAGTTTTAAATGATTCGAGTACAGGTCAAAATATTGCCAATCTAATTTGTGCCTTTTTTTCTGAACACAGCATACCATGGGAAAATTGTTTATCGTTTTCCTGTGATAATGCCAGGAATATGATGAGGAAAAACAAAGGAGTTGGTGCATATCTCAAGGAAAATCATTCTAATCTGTTAGCTTTTGGCTGCCTTTGTCATCTGATCAACCTGGGGGGTGAAAAAGGAGCAAAGACTTTGCCCATTTTATTTGATGACCTACTTATAGATATTTATTATTATTTTCATAGAAGTGGGAAACGAAAATTAGAATTTAAAAAATTTCAAATGTTTGACAAAGAAGGTGGTAAAAAAATTCTAAAACATTGTGCGACAAGATGGTTATCCCTTGGTAAATGTATCACTCGCTTACTTGAACAATGGAGAAGTCTTCTCTTATATTTCAAAGAAGTGTGTTCTGAGAGCAAAGTAATTACAGATTTCTCACCAAAAATCTCGGCTTATGTAATACCAAAATTACAGAAGTAAGAAACAAATGAAGATGTTCAAACAGAAGGTGAGGGGTCTAAAATAAAAAATACTAAGCGCAAGGTTTCCGATACTGCCCCAGTCTGTTCAAAAAAGATGAAATCCAAATCCCAAATGATTCAGCCTTGTTATAGACAAGTGTTCGATGAAAAGTTTTTTAAAACAGCCAAATCTGCTACAACTGTAGCACTTAACAAGAATAATTGATTTTTTTATATGTGTTTATTGTCACATATGTTTGAGTAATAATAAAATATTTTGTTTTTAAATATGTTTTAAATTACTAAAATCAGCTATCATTTCTGTTTAATTAGTTTGTTGAATAAGAATAATAATCAGAAATCTTGTCAGTTGATATGTATTATAATCAATAATAATTGTTACATTAAATCTTATACAGTTACAATTATACAAACATTTAGTGTAAAGAAGTAAACTTTAATGTCGCGACCGTGTGACGTGTTCCTATTTTTTTCCCTGGCAGGTTGGCAAGTATGATGCTTTGATGCAAAACAGTTTCTCTCATTTCGTTCGATATCAATAATAATTTATGAGAAATATTAAATATATTTTTTTAAATATGTTTAAATAATATGTTAATTTTGTGAACATATGTATTCCTGCCTGATTATGAAACTTCATTCGCTATTGAAGCAAATGAAGTTTTTTAATCGGGTAATATCTTACCGCTTCTCTTTCTTGGGGTTATTTGTTTAATATATATTATCGGTTAATGTTATTTTCTGTTCACTAATCAAAATGTCATACAATTTTTTAGTTTTTAAGTTATTCATTGCTTGTTTACTTTTAGAGAAGGGTGCCCTGTTGGACCCGGCTTCACTCTTTCAAAAGTATATTATCTTAGGCCTATGCTTGCCAATAATAAAGATAAGCGAGGCTTAGCACTTGATGGTCAACTCAAGCATGAAGACACAAATCTGGCATCGTCAACTATGTATGCATAATGTTTTTTTTATTTTTATTTTTTTAAAGTTTTTTTTGTTCCATTATAAAGTTATATTCTGTAACTTCTGTTACCTTCAATTATAATACATTCACTATATTTATCTATCAGTTCTTTTTGTTGAAATGGAACTACATTTTAATAAAATAATATGAGGGGAATATATGCACTTGATATTTCTTAACCTTTTAGAATGATAACACCTTTTATTCTAGCTCTTTCAGTGCAACTGTAAGCAAAGCAACTTGGGGAAAAAATTTCATTTATTGATCAAAAGGAAAATAAAAAATTATAGGTTAAATAAAAAATAGTTTTAGCTATATATGTTTGAATATGGTGATAGGCATTTTTAAAATTGCCTCTGCTTTCTTTTTCACCAAGGAAGCATATTCTAATTTTCCTATATAATTATTTTTGTTTCCTGATATTTTGTGATATTTATTATTATAGTTGTTAATATTATTTGATAAAGTTGGTTGAAAACATTCTCTTCTTCTGAGATAAATCTGATTATGTAAAAATTTTACCTCAGTGAATTTACTTTTATTAATATCCCCAAATGTTGTTTAGGAATTTATATACACTAGCAGTTTTTCATAAACTGCAACAGGTTGGGAAACTTTGAAAAAAATTTTTTTTTTCTTTTTGAAAATAAAGTTTTTGTCCTTATAGAATTTTGTTACTTTAGGTGACTTGAAATTTTACTCATAACAGAAAAATGCATGTTTTGCTTGAAAATATATTTTAGCTGTAAAGCAAAAAGAAAATATTTGTTTATTTAAAAAAAATTTAAGTTTTGATATATAAGAAGTGAAAACTGTTAAATATGATTTATTGCTTAACTCTAATTTTGTACAATTAGCAGACCAAATGATAAGACTGCTTTAAATAGTATTATTTCTTACCAATAGTTTGCTTTAATACAATCCTTTTTTATTTAAAGCTTTATATTTGGAGTGTTACAGGGTGCGTAGCGCTTTTGAAAAGTGCTTAAAGGTGCTTATTTTCGATTTTCGTTTTTTAAAAGCCCTTAAAGGTGCTTTTTTCCATGGGTGTTTTTAAAAAGTGCTTAATTTTTCCTTTTCCGAAATGTGTTATTTTTCTTTACCATGTTGATTTTTCCACAAAAAGACATTGTCCTATTCAACATTTTCTCAATTAATTCAACCCCAATCTATTTCGGTGCACAGCCGCTCTGTAGTGTATGAAAACACCATTTGTTTTATATGCCTGATGAAATGCTTGCGGGTACGCACTTGCACATACTGAGTTGGATTCAGCGGTAAGGAATTTTGACTCTCGTGGGCAACCCTGCTGCATTTTGCAAGAGACTCTCAATATCAGACTTCATTTTCCGCCCTCTGTAATAGAATCAAAAAATCTCTCGAATTTTTGCTGATTACGGGGACTAGCTAAACATTGTCAATTTTTTTCCCTCTATTAGTGATAAAAAAGTTCATTTCTCTTGTTAATTTAATCGTTTGTGACGCGCCATCATCTTCGTCACTGTAAATAAAACCATCAATTGTCAAAAATTTGCCAACCCTGTCTAATTATGATATTTTTCAAAGTGCTTAAAAATTTTTTTTGAGTGCTTGAAAAGTGCTTAAAAGGTGCTTATATTTGTTGAAAAATTTGGCTACGCTCCCTGTGTTATCAAATACTCTCGCTCAAATGAGAAGAATCCATCCACTCAAACTTTAGATTTGCTTAGATAATTGCTTTTTTTTTCATTAAAAGAAGAAAAAAAACTATTTTCTTGTTTAATGAAAATATATATGTAAATAAAAATGTACATGTGAAATATACATGGCTATTCATCTTCACGCATTATAATTTTTAAAAGAATATGTTCAGCAGCTGTAGCATATAGTAAATCAATTCACGAGTCTTTGGATATTTGTCATTTATAACATTGTGTATTAAAATGGACATTTAGTATAATCTTTATGCAAGTTTTATATATTAAGTGTTTTGAAACGAAACTGATCAACTTATCTATAAAAATTCTATAGTAATAAAAGGTTTAGAAACTTATAATGAATTTAAACAAATTTAAGTTTATAATATATTGTGTCTATAGTAAGAAAAAAAAATATCTGAATAACTTTTGATCTAATGATTGGACAACATGCTCTAAGATGGATAACTTTAAATATGTTTATTAATTAGTGTAAGAATATTTTTAGTTAAGAAATCAGACATGCATAAAACTTTTTCTAAATATTGTACTTTTTTTACAATTCAAATTCTCAATATCCCAATAGTTGAAACTGGAGAGCATGAGATAAGTTGATCCCCTTAATGTTAACTTCATTTTTTACACATTTCGCCATATCTCTAGTTGTATTTAAGCAAATCACAAAATTTTTCATGCAGTTGTAAAAGTCATTACTTCTTAGATTTTAGTTAACAATGGTTGAAAAAGTTTAATGCATGCCGATTTTTATATGATTTTTAACTAGGTAATGTTAAATGGTAAAATCTAAAATTTGAACAAATGGAATAAAATTTTCAAATAGTTCTTGAGAACATTTAAAAGTAAATTACTCAGAATTTGACTCATTAACAATAAAAAAAAATTAAAAAAAAAATAAAAAATTTAAGTGAATTCACTATTTCAGATTTTGTTATTTAAATTATAGTACAAAATGAGGCAAAATTTTGAATACCTCATAATTTAAAACTTTTTGACCATTTATTATAAAATTATTATTTTTTTTTTGATTAATGAGTTATTCATTGTGTGGAAATGTTTTGATTAGCTTTAATAATTGCAGAGATATAGAGAAATAAATAAATTATGAACAGCGGGGCCAAACTGTTGGCTGCTTTCCTGGCTAAACTACTGAGATCATATTTTCCAGATTGTGGCTACCTCTCTTTCCATATTACCAAAAAATTTGAATCCTTCAAAAAAAGAAAAAAGAGAGAGAAAGGATCTGATTATTCAGAGAAAGTTTGCCTTTGTGTCTTATTTTGTATATTATATTATCTACACTAATTAACTAATACAAGATTATTCCTTCAAATCATTAAAAATCAGATCATTGGATCAAAAATTTTCAACTGTTCTGTTTTCATTTTTAGCGACTGTATTATATGTATATAAATATATATGTTGCTTGAATGTTTATTGCAGCATGTATAAGTTAATATAAAATTGAAATTTTTGCTTGCATCCAGATGTGTGTTTTACTTATTTTCTGTTAGTTAATTGCAATTTTATGGTATTTTCCCCTGATTTATATTATTTATTTAAAAAATTTCTTTTGTAGCATTAAAGATGCTACCCACAAAGAAAATCTTGGCATTATTGTTCAGTATAAAGTCAAGGTGAAGCTTTGTCTTGGTCCTTTAGGAGGGTAAGAAAACTACCATCTTATGTATACTTATCAAAATGTATAGTTGTTGGATCAGTTTTATTTTATTGTCAAAAAATAAAAATGTATAATAAACTTTATTAATTTGTTACTGTGTAATATTCTCAAAGATTGTTGTTTCTTATACGTTATTTTCTACAAATGCCAATTTTAAAAGAATCAATTTGTATTTTTGATTCAATATCTTTTTATATTTTTAATTTATCATATATAATGCTTTGGAAAACCATAAAACTCATTAGTTTGCACTTAAGAACCATCTAATAATTATATACATGATTTAAACATACAGCTTTGTTCACAGGATTCATTGTTTCAAACTTATTTTTTTACTTCAGCCATTAATTGGAAAAGAAACTCAATTAACAATTTTACATTATCCAATTTTTACAATTATGATTTCAGGGGCTATACACTTATTTATTATTACCTGCAAAGGCAGTAACAAATCTTGTAGGGTGGACTATTGTAGTTTCACTGTTATTGATTTATTTCTCATAACAATATAGCAATGATACCAATTAACAATAATAGCAATCATAGATTTTTAAAGTGAGCCTATTTGTTCCACTTCTAATCGTGTTTAAAATAATTATTACCATAAAAAGTAACCTCCTTTATTAACGTAATTACATTTAGATGATTGGAAATTAGAAACAGTTATAATAAGAAAAATTATTTCTACATTTATTAATGATCTAAATATTTGATTCTAAGTCCTATAAAAATTAACTGTGTAACCTTTTTTGTTATTATAAAATTGATTTTTACTACATGTATCAATACATTTTAAATACATTTTGAATAAAATTGTTTTTTAGGTTGAAATATATTCTGGTCGAATTGAATTTTATGCTATAAAACCTTTTAGTTACCTTTTAGAATTTTTTCATCCTCAGCATACAATAAAGATTTCGACGTCTGTCATGTCTTTAAACCAACCTAGGCTGCATCAGTTAAACTAGTATTTTTCATAAATAGTAATGTCAATTTTTATTATTTTGTTTCACAGTACACAATGTAAAATTAAATAGCCTTTTTAAATGCTTAAAGTTGTCCTTAATAAGAACAAAATATTGCAGAGATTTAACTGCAGAATTGCCATTTGTCTTGATGCATCCAAAACCTGCTGATGATCCACCTCCTGTGCCCTCAAGAAACCCGTCAGTCCCCAAGGATGAAAATAATGAAAACGCAGGAATAGACACTGATCTTATTCGTCTGGATACGTAAGCATTTTTACTTATCATAGAAAGTAATCCATCCTGCACAATTTGCTTGATTGCTTTGAACTTTTTATGCAGTGGTTCTATAAGTATAGTTAGTATGTACTTTATTTATATTGAGTACCATCAACTGTGGTTATTTTGGACATTCTCTTAAAAAAGTTTGAGATGCAAAAAGCATTGTCAAATGTGAGCTCTGCAAAAAATCAGGACTGTAATGCTTACAAGATTGTGGTAAAATGTTTTCATACAGTGAGAATTTAGTGTGAAAAGAATTTGTAAAATGACATTTGAGCAAGAAATTAGAATACATTAGCAACATAAATCCACGAAGCCCATAGCAAGAGCATTTTTGTTCATATTATTTCTATTTGTGTTTGACATAATAACAGAGATGCCGGATAGCGGAGAAATATTTTTGAGTGGTAGTCTTTTAATGTATGATACTTGGTTTAGTAAATTCAATTTATGGGTTTTTTTACTCACCATTACTTCTAAATAATTCAAAGGCTTATATAATATGCCACTTTGTTACAGTAAAACTGTGTTGAGCCTTTTAAAAAGTTACCAAAATTAAAAAAATAATTCTACAAATTTTTCGTAGTTCTCTACTGTTTTTAATATATTTTATTGTATCCAGAGCAGTTTGCCATCACTTTAATAACCATTTAAGGGATATGATACAGGAATTTTTGTACATAAATTTTCATGTAATTTATTAATTGGACAATGTTACCCGAACTCCATAGGAAAATTAGGATTACTTTGGAATTTTTGTACATAAATTTTCATGTAATTTATTAATTGGACAATGTTACCCAAACTCCATAGGAAAATTAGGATTACTTTGCTCACCTCAGAACACAGAGTCAAAATGACAAGCTTGATGCTGACATTTAACTATTTTTGATGAAACAGAATAATGAAAATAAAATAAATCACTAAAAATTATTAAAGTTACCTGTGAAATCAAAGGATTTAGTGGTTGTGATATTTTCAGGGAAAAAAGCATTTTTCAAAGCATTGCCTAACAAAATATTGAATCATTTTTTTTAATGTGTGAACCGAAGTCAAAAGAAATTAAATCTCCCCCTTAAAAAAAAAANAAAAAAAAATTTTTTTATGAGCAAATCTATCATTTCTCTGGCTGATGTTATTGCAGTGAGGCAAGTTATTTCTTGAAGAAGCTTTTTGAAGCTTAATGAGTCACCTTATGTACCAACATGCATGTTCTCCCTTTTTAAAAAAAATTATTTCTGCTTATAGTTATCTATTAAATTTGTATAATGCAAATCTAACAATTTAACCAGTGTCTAGTATTTGTTATTTATGAAAATAACAAATAATAGTAAATTATTTTCAACTATTTGAAAAATATTATTTTTATTTCTCATGCTATGAACACATTTCCGAAAAGTTGTCTTTGAGGTAGTTTTCAATAGAAAATATTTCGTGGTTAAAGTTAACCAGTTTTTAGGGGTAATTTTGCCCTTCATGTTTTTGAATTTCTACTGAAAATATTCAGTAGAATTTAGTTTAAGAATAATATATAAATTTTTTTTGACAAGAACCAAATCTTTAAATTATCTCAATTAAGCAGGGATGAGATTTTTCCGCTTTTTAGCGGATTTCCGCTTTTTTTCACTTTTATCTCTTGAATTTCAGCTTTTTTATCAAAAATTCAGATTTTTCTAAAAAAATTTTTTTTTTTTTTATAAGAACAGTAGAGAACCATTCATCCGGTATCCAGATAATCGGGAAACCAGAAAACCGGGAAAAATTTTGATCGGTTTTCCCACCATTTTAAACTAGAACGATTATGAAAAAAAGCGGAAATTGAACTCATCCTTGAAGTTGAGTAGAGGAAAATGTAAGGAAGGGGAGAATTTTTTTCCCCGTTTACCCAGAGAAACGTCATTTCCTCCGTGACCTTGAAGGCAGGGAAGGGAGGAATGTTTTATTTTTTTCTTTAGGCCGTCAATCAAGCTCAAGGGTGTGGCATGCTGATTTCGTTTTCTGTTTGATTTACGAGGGGGGTGG